CCTCTCCAAGGCTTCCTTTGACAGCCCATTCTACTGTTACACAAGGTCCCCTGGCCAGAATGGTCTTTCTAAGGAATCTATCCAAAATCATTGTTCTTTTTAGCCCAAGTCCATCTTTCCTCGGAAAATGGCTGGTTGCTCTTTATATATTCCTCTTTCCCATTCTTCAGAAATTTTAAAATCTATCCCTCACGTTTCTTTTTCAAACTCCACGTTCTCCCTTTTTGTTGCCATGGAAGGTTTTTTTCCCCTCTAGACCCTTTCTATTTCTCCGCATCTCTCAAATTAAAAATGCTCCCAAATTGACAATAGTACTCTGAGGACCAAGTAGAGTAAGATGATTACTATGCAGGCCCTACATGCCATGTTTCTCCTTATAAAAATTTTACTTTCTTTTTTAGCTCTGCCATATTGCAGATTCACAGGGTGTAAACTGAGGGGGGAAGAAACACTTCTTTATATAACTTGTAAATTTATCCCCTTCCTTTTGGTGGATTAGAAGCCTCTCAAAACAGTTTGGTCTTTTTTCTCTGCTTTGTCACTTTTTTAAAGCCATCCTCTTTTATTGAAGCCCAAAAAAACCAGCTTGTTTAATGAGAATTTGCAAACAGGAGTACAGAAAGGTCAAGAAGGGCGAGCATCATGTTGACATGAGGTCATGAGATATTGCATTTGAGGCAGGACAGCCCCAGTGTGGGGCTGGTGTTCTAGGAAGGATCCAGTTCTTAACCTGAACAACTCATCATGCTTGTCGACAGGAATGATCAACACTTGCTGTACTCTGCTATGAACTCTATCCCTTTCAGAAGTTGTTTGCCAGGCGGGGGGGGGGTGGGGGGGATATAGATATAGATATGTAGAGAGACAGACAGACAGACATATTTGCCCAGGGTCACACAGCTAGTAAGTGGCTAAGGCCAGATTTGAACTCAGGAAGATGAGTTCAGTGCTCTAATCACTGTGTCATCACATGTAGATGGATAAATGGATGGATAGATAAATAGATAGACCAATAGTTGTTGTTTCTGAGAAGTTGCCTGTGTTTTTAGCTATTGAAGCCAGAAAGGTAGTTTTTGTGTCTGAATAGCTAGGAGCTGATTATATTTGGGTATCGGTGCAGGTTGAGAAAAGATGGGGCTTCAAGTCGGCCTGGACATAAGGAGCTCTTCCAACCAACAGTGGAATTTATAACAAAAACTGGTTCCTCGCATCTGGGGGGTGTTGAGACAACAGTTCCTTTGGTCATTATTTACTGCTATGCTCACCTGCTTTTTTTGTTTGAGTTAGAGCTACAGTCATCCATGTAGAACTAGAAGGGATTTCAAGGCTATTTAGTCAAACTGTCTCATTTTGCTGATGAGGAAATTGGACCTGAAAGAGGTTAAGGGACTCAACCAAGATCACATAGATTAAGTGTTAAGAGTCAGGATTCAAACCCAGATCCTGTGATTCCAAATCTTTACACACGAGGGCAGTGCAGAGTAGGCAACAAGAAATAACGTATTGAGGGAGGAAAAACTTAAGTGTCTAAGACAGTTTTTAAAATTGCATCTTCCCTTCCTGAGACACATACTCCTAATAAAAAGTCTGAGCTGAATGTGCAAGACCTTCCCCTTTGCTGTGCCTGGGGAGTGATCACAGAAATATCTGGTTCATTCCGTCTTTCACTTGCCCCTAAGCTTGAGGCTACTTTGGAGATGGGAGAAGTGGTTTAATATCAAAGTATGTTGGCAGATAGATAGCCCAGTGGATAGAATGTGGGCCTGGAGTCAAGAAGACTCACCTTTGTGAGTTCAGTCTGGCCTCAGACACTTACTAGCTACGTGACCCTGGGCAAGTCACTTAACCCTGTTTGCCTCAGTTTCCTCATCTGTAAAATGAGCTGGAGAAGAAAATGGTAAACCATTGTCTTTGCCAAGAAAACCCCAAATGGGATCATGAAGAGTTGGACGAGACTGAAAAACGACTGAACAAATGCTGGGTTTACTCTGGCTCTTACGATTATTGAAGAATTGAGGGAGATGAGTGTGCTAGAATGTGTTCTATCCAGAATTGTGCTGAACCTATTCATTATGATTATGATTCTGTGATTATCATTATTATTATGACACAACTCTTTTCCTCAGAATGCGTAAGATATTTGTAGTATTTTAGAGGCAGGAGAGACTTTAGAAAGCACATACTACCTCCATTTTATAAATTCTTGAGAGACTGGGCCTCAGGGCGGTCAAGTCCCTTGCTCAAGGTCACAGAGCAGGGTAGCAGCAGAGGGAAGGCTAGTCACCAAATCCCATCCAGCTACTCTTCCCCATGCTCGTTGCTGCTTCCCTCTTTCACAGTTTTGCCCAGGACCAGTCCTGGATATTATGGAAATTACCCTACTTGAAATAAAAGCAGTCAAATCCCATTTGTGTTCTGTGACAACCTCAAGAAGTAGGACTGAAATCTCATTTTCTTTTTTCCTTACATTTACCTAAGGGAGTTCATTTATGGAAGACCCTGTTTCCCAAAATACTTTCTGGAAAGTGCTATATCGTTCTCTCCATCTCCCTCTCCGCCTCCCTCTCCCTGTCTCTCTCTCCCTCTCCCTCAGCATCACTAACTGGAATAAGTCTGTTTTCTAATCAAATGATCGAGAATATTTTCCTCTTTTATCCGTAAATGTTGTAACTTAGTTTATCATTTTTGTGACTCTAGGATTATGAGAATGTTTTTTTTAAAGAAAAAAAGTTCTTTAAAGATAAATTTCAAAAGACATATAGGCATCTAGGACTGAGATATTCCCAGAGATCATTAAATCCTAAACCTAGATCTAGGATGAACCTTAAAGATCATCTACTATACCTCCCTCCTTTTCTAGGAAAAGAAGCAGAGGCCTAAAGGAGAAATAACTCGCCCATGGTTACAGAGGTGGTAAATGTCAGAGGTGGAATTTGAACCCAGTTCTTCTGACATCAAACCTAGCAGTTTTTCTCGGTACGTCATCAAATATGCCCGATATAGAGGACTCCTGAAAAAAATATCCAGCTGGGTGACAAAATAATATTAGATGAACTTTGGAGCTGCTCTTTTTGAATGAAATTTTGCTTTTTTTAAATTAACATTTATTTTCTTTCTTACCTCCTCCATCGCCCTCCGAAAAAAGAAACTACAAAACTCTTGTAACAAATATGCATAGTCAAAAAAAAATCCTACATTGGCCACGTCCAAAAATTGTCATATTTTGTATATTGAGTCTGTCACCTCTCTATCAAGAGATGAGTAATATTCTTCATTTTCAGTCTTCTGAAATCATGTTATTCCTTTTTTTTCCATGAACTAACCCTAAGATCCTAGCTTGCCTGGCTTCTTTCACATCTTAGCTAAAGTCCCACCTTTTGCAAAAACAGTATATCCCAGGCCTCTTTAAGGCTATACTTTCCCTCTGAGATGTCCCCAATTTATTCCATTTATCTCTTCTCTTTGCATAGTTGTTTGCAGCCTGTCTTCCCTGTTAGACTGTGAGCTTCTTGAGAAAAGGGACTGTTTTCTTCCTTTCTTTTTATTCTCAGGTTAGCACAATGCCTGGCATATAGTAGGAGCTTAATAAAGAATCAGAGAGTTGAATAAAATTGCCCAAGGTCATACAGCTCATTCATGACTGCATAGAGCCAGATAGAATCCAAATCTCCTGCCTACTGGTCTTATGCTTTTTCCATAACATATTGAAGGCCTAGCTGTGTTTATGAAGTTAGCCCATAGCAAACTTGTCCATGGAAATGTCCCGAATCCTCAACTGATGACAGTTTATATAGAGTAGGATTAACGCTTGAGAGCAGGCAGTTTACTGGGCGTACCCGTTATTCCTTTTCATACTCACTGGAACATTTAACAGAGTTTAATTCGGTGATAAAATTCAACAAATATAGATTGGGCACATAACATCACTGTGGCAGGCTGAGTGAAGATAGAAATTTAGCTAGGATTTAGACCTTCCTTGAGCTTGTAATCCAGTAAAAGGATATGATCCACAGAGGACTATAAAAATGTAGGATAAGAGCGTTCAAGAGGTCCTAGCAAGTGTTAATGCAATTGCTTGATTGTGATTGTTAGAGATAAGCACTTTGCTGAAATGGGTGTGATGACTGATAATCATCACAATAATAATTAATATTGACATAAGTCTTTAAGGTTTGCAAAGCACTTTACTTGTATTATAATTAATCTGATTTGATTTGATACACCCAACTGTCCTGGGAGGTAAGGGCTACTATTTTTCCCATTTTGCACATAAGGACCACAAAGGTCAAGTGACTTGTCCAAGGTCACACAACTAGTGAGTAGCAGAGATTGAACTTAAACTCAGGTCTTCCTGACTCCAGGTCTGATATTCTAATTACTGCATCACTTACCTATCCCAAAGAGAAATGACCGTGATTGGGCCCTGAGAGGAATCCTTTGATACATTACTTTTCATTAATTAAAAAATTATTAAGAGGGGACAGCTAGGTGGCGCAGTGGTTAGAGCACTGGCCCTGAAGTTAGGAGAACCTGAGTTCAAATCTGGCCTCAGACCCAACACTTGACACTTACTAGCTGTGTGACCCTGGGCAAGTCACTTAACCCCAATTGCCTAAAAAAAAAAAGGGAAAAAAATTATTAAATGCCCACTATGTGCCACGCACATGAAAGATGAATATTAGGGTTTTTTTAATTTCCTAAAGTGACAGTTTATCATCAATATTATACTAAAAATGATTTTCTTATTAAATGATAGCGAGATAGCACAGTGGATAACAGACAGGCTTTGGAGTCAGGAAGACTAACTCAGACACTTATAGCTGTGTGGCATATTAGTTATGTTAACCTCTCTGTGCCTCAGTTTCCTTATCTGTAATATGGGAATAATAATAGCACTAACCTCCCAGGACTGTCGTGGGGACCAACTGGGTTAACTTACGTAAAGGCTTTGCAAACTTAAGAGTTATATAGATGCTAGCTATTATTAGCTATTACTATACCTGCCAGTCCATGGTATTGTCCAGAGTTCAGTATAGTACAAGTTCAGCAGATATTGCTTAGAAGATAGCAAGCTGGCATTCTTTGGAGAAACTGATGCTGGCCTACAGGCCAGAATCATTTATTCACTTTGCTTAGAAAGGAGGAAATGGCCTTTCAGAGCTGAATGAATGATAGCAGGAAGAGAACACAGTGTTCTTAGGACAGTGATAAGCCAGAGGGTAATTAAGTCTTTGGGTATGACCTGAGAGAAGACTGAAGAGCTAATTGGATGAATGTAGTAAGTATAGGCCTCTAGGAAAGTTTTGCCTGGGAGAAGCAGAGTTAGCAGACTGGGAGAGGGGGAGAGAATTTAAAAAAAAAAAAGTGAAAGAATTTTTTAAGAGGAATGAATAACTGGGTAGTTGCCTGTGGCTTACAACCAAGTGAACTCTGTGACAAGAGGTGATTCCATTTTGAACAAACCTTTTAGCTCAGCTAAGAAAACCAAACACCCTTAAAATAGCTCATAGGCACTGTTCGGAGCCCTGATGAAATGAACACAAGGAGGGAAAGGAAGGACTGGTGACATTGACTTACATTTTGCCCTTGGGGTAGAAATGCTTTCCACCTACTTATCTTTCAGGAATGTTAAGAAGGTTAAAGCACTAGTATCTGCTCTAATACTGGAGCCTTAACCCTTTCAACTCCATAGGTGTGTCTAAATAAGTGTAAGTATTCTCTTATTACTCAGATAGGATTGAATCATGCAAAAATGTAATTTAAGTAAGGGCAAAGCTCCAGGGAGCATTTGTCTGCTAATGTCATGAAGTCAACAGAATCTCCTTCCATTAGTACAGTAAGACTGGACGTTAATGCCAGGCAGGGAAATGAGGCATGGCTTAGCTTGATGGTCCATGAAGGATGTTCACTCAGGGTAGCATTTAGGTCTTTTAAGCTTGACAGCTCTATTTATACCAAGACATACTCTGATTTGTTTTTCAGTGACACAAAATTATTGTAAGAGATGAAACACTCCTTGGTTTTATAACCACATTTGTTCTGAAATCTTCTTTTCCAGTTTTCTTTTGAGTCAGGGAAGCTACCTGACCTCTGATTTCTGCCACTTGTCAATTTGTTCTGAATTCTGCTGCCTGATACTACTTCATTATGCCAGCATCACTTCATTAAGAATCTGCCCTTCTATTTATTACCTGTCAGATCATGTCCAAATTCCTCATTGCAATTCAGTAAGCATTTACAAAGTGCCTACTATTGTGCCAGGAGCTCTGCTAGATGCTGGATATACAAAGATAAAAATCAAACAATGCTTGCCCTTAAGAAACTGATATTTCTTAAACTAGTACTCAAGGCTTTATCAGCTAGTCTAAATAACTGCCTAATCATTAGGGGTTTGTTCTTCTTCCCTTACAGACAGACCATTCATTTTTATTTGTATGGCCATAGTCATTCTTTTTTTCCAATCTCCCTTACTCCTTTTTATTTCCTACCCTTGTGATACTCTCCTCCCTCCTTTCTACTTTGTATATTTTTTCAGGATGGAGCTCAAGACCTCCTATTCCACAAAACCCTTTTCCAAACCAAGTTCAACCTACCATGGTCTTTTGTTTTATCAAAGTATATAAGTTGCATATAGTTTCTTTATTATGTGGCATAAGGAGAAGAGTACCAGCTTTGGGGTCAAGAGGCCTGGGTTCAAATTCTACCTTACATGCTTGCTGTGTGACAATGGACAGTTCATTTGGGCTCTCAGAGGCTCAGTTTCTCCATCTGTAAAAAGAGGTTGATAGCCTCTGTACTACTTACCTCACAGGATACTTGTAAAAAAAAAAAGCACTTTGAAAAACCTGAGACATCATACAAATATGAACTTTTATTATTGATTATGTTTTTTATGAGTTGATTTCTAGTAGTTGCCTAATTTTTGCCTAACTAAATCATGTTTCTCAAAAGCTTCTATTGCTTGTATATGCCCCTACTACAGGTATCAAAGAGTGGGGCACACACCAATATATGAATTCACCAATTAATAAATATCTCTTAAGTTAATGAGTGCATTTTAAATTTTCTCATTTAGTAGTGGAAAGGGACATCTGATTATTGTTGTTGACATTTGTACTATTTTGTGGCTATATATCCAGATTTTGGTTTTCGGGAAATTAATTCTAATGTCTTGACAACAAGAACATAACTAGGGATGAGTAGGACTTGATTTGAAACAGATAACTCTGTTGGCATGGTAGCATTCTTATATTCTACTCTTGTCACTGTGTTTTAGTATGACTAGTATATGTATATGTATATGTATATGTATATGGTATAGTATATGTATATATACTATATGTAGGGTGTGTGTGTGTGTGTATTACTAGCCCTAATCATGTGTGTGTATAGTCACACATACACACACAGACATACCTATATATATAATTTTTTTTACCTATAGAACCAAATTATAAAATTAATTTATTTTCAATGGCGTAACAGTGTTTTATACTTGGTGATTGTTACTCAGCATAGGTCATGGATAAATCAGAATACTTGGACCAGAAATATGTTTCACTAAACCAACAAATTATGGTTTCATTGGCTGGATAATTCCACTGGTAACTGTGCTATCAATTCTGTTATTTCATTTGTTTGTGGGAAATTTATCTTCCAAATGTAGGCAGCTGTGTAAGTGGGTTTGAAAAGAGATCAGAAAAACATCTCCTAAGAAAGCACATGAATTCCTTTCTTCTTGTCAGAGTAGCAATTCAAAAGTAAAACATATTGGGTATCTTACATATACTTAGATTGTGGACCTTTCTATCTTATGTGTGAATCTTAAAAAAAATAATGAAAATTCACTTTGTTTCATCAGATTTTACTGTTGATTTTAATTTAATGAATTCCTTCTTATTTTAAATCCAGTAGCACTTAGGTGTTTTGTTTTCAGATTTTGATTGAATCTGTTCTTTATATGTTTGCTTTCTGGCACATTGAAATTTAAATGAGTAACTTTTTAAGACTCATGTCATACTGAGACTTTAGAGCTGAAAGAGACTTTGTTGTGCAATGGTTTCAGTAATGTCTGACTCTTGGTGACCCCATTTGGGGTTTTTTTTGACAAAGATACTGGAGTGGTTTGCCATGTCCTTCTCCAGCTTATTTTACAGGTGAGGAGAATGAGACAAACAGGGTGATGACTTGACCAGGATCACACAGCTAGTAATTTTCTGAAGCTAGATTTTTACTCAGAGATGAGTCTTCCTGACTCCAGGCCCAGCACTGTGTCCACTGCACCACCTAACTGCCCAGAGAAGGAAGGGATCTTAGATGTCATCTAATCCAGTTCTCATTTTTTACAGGTGGCAAAATTGTTGTTCAGAAATGTTAAGTGAGTTGCCCAGGTCAGTAGCAGAACCACAGTTTGTATTCAACTCCTCTAACTCCAAATCCATCAGTCTTTCCACCAGAATCCATACAAATATTTGTTTATATTTAGCAAATTCACTTTTCTTCTGCTAAAGGCATAATGCATTTACTGAGGCAGCTAAGTGGAGCACTGGACAGAACAATGGATGGGCAGTCAGCAAGACATCTGTTCAAATCCAGCCTCAAAAACTTACTAGCTTTGTCCTTTCACTTCTATCAGCCTCAGACTTCTCATCTATAAAGTGGAGACAATAATAGCACCTGTGGCCCAGCTGGTTTTAAGAATAAAATGAGATAATATTTGTATAGCTCTTTTCAAGTTTTAACTTGTATAAATACTTATTCTTATTTTACAGAAGTTTCCTTTTTTCTTTTTCTAATTAAAAGGACTTTTAAACAAAGATTGTTTCCTTATACTAGTTGTACACATATCAGTCTTCTGGAGGTGTTAGAGGCTGGACTAGGGGTCCTTTGAGGTTTGTTCCAACCTTGAAGAGTCTTTGAATGTGACCTATTACCTTTATGTAAATATCATGAGACTTCCTAGCCCAGCATTATTCTACTTCTCGAACACACCATATCCTTTTCTTCCCGCATATTTTTATTCACATTCTTTTCTATATCTGTAATGACCTTCTCCCTCAGCATTAGCTGTTCATTTTTATCCTTTTCTCTTTTTTAGGGTCTTTTTAAAAAATTTATTTTATTTTCAATTCAGGGAACAAAACAAGCTTTTCCATAACACAATACAATAATTAAAAAAAAGATAATTGAACCCAAAACTGCAAATCTACATATACAATTTGCTATTTCCTCCAAATATACCACAAAGTTATCAAGTAAATTTCTTCTTCCTTCCCCACCCCCCCCAGCCTTGAAGTGGCTAACATTAGATAAACACACACACACACACACACACACACACACGGGTGTATGTTGTGTGTGTGTGTGTGTGTGTGTGTGTGTGTGTGTGTATGTAAAATTGTTCCATACATTCTTCTGTTTATCAGTTCTTTCTCTGGATGCAGATAAGCCTGTCTCTTCATATGTCTTTTATTTTTAATTTGTGTATTTATAATAGTCAAAATGACTCAGTCACTCAAAGCTGTTGTTCAAAGACCAGCTCAGATGCCATTCTTCCATGAAGCTATCTCCCACACTTGGAAATAAACACCTCACCCTCTGAACTCCAATGTTACACGATGTTTCTTTTTCGAATTTTCACATTCTACCTTTTATGATAATTGTATGTATAAGGAGGATACTGGAGTCAAGGAGACCTGAGTTCACATGTGGCCTTACTAACTCTGGGCAAGTTGTTTAATATCTTAATTGCCTCAGTTTCTTCAATTGTGAAATGAGGATAATAATAGCACCTACCTCCCAGGGTTGTTCCCTTTCCCCCTACTTGCCTTATTTACTCTGCTAGACTGTGAACTCCCTAAAGGTGCAGCAATGTTTTCACATTTCCCACAGCAGCAATGCCTTGCATGGTGTTTTTGCTATGTTTCAGGTGCTCAGTAAATACTTCCTGAGTAACTCAAACTGGTTCTAAGTAACTGGTTGCTTTTCATAAAGTCCTACAAGGAAGTTTTATGAAACCCCCTAAGATTTCTCAATTTGTGGAAATTGACAGATAGGT